CCCTCCCTCCGCCCTGCTGCTCACTGCAGGTGACAACAGAAGCTCCCCCTTGGGAGGCTGCACGTGCCATTTCTAAGATGCTCACATCACTCCAAATACCTGGCACGGCTGGGGGCTCCAGGGCTCTGGACTTGGGGCCGGCCCCTCGCCCAGATTTGAATTTTCCCTGTCATTTACCAGCTGGTCGAGCTCACAGAGAACTCGGTGTCCGAGCATCACTCTCCACCTGTACAGGTGTGAAGATCAACCTCCCCAGGGCTGCTCCTGGCCCCGAAGTGCTGACCCAGGACCTGAGGCGTTCGTGCCTGGTTATGTACCAGTCCAGGACCTGTCCGAATCCAGCCCCCCTCAGAGGACAAAGGCTCCCCCTCCAAATGGCCCCCAAGCACCTGTCAGAGTCCTGCGTGCTGTGTGGGTTACAAACATCCCTGTGAACCAGGCAGTCTTGTTACTCTGCTTCATGGAAGAAGTGAGGCTCAGTGAGGTCGGGTAACTGCTGCGCTGACTCCCATGCTTTCCTCCCTAGAATTTCATGTGTGTACATCTTACAGTTCTTCTTTTTTTTTTTTTGCTATATTTAAATGTATAATGAAATATAGCAATTAAACAGGCTAACATTTGTTGAGTAACAAACAGTAACGTTTCTACCTTCTGGTTACCGTTCTTAGTTTTGTCCGTGTACCAACTCTCTTTCTTATGTATGTAAAGAAAGAACCATTAGCCCGTTTTACAGATGAGGAAACTGAGGCATAGAAAAGTAATATGTCCATGCCACACAGCTAGGTAAGTGGTGGAGCCGAGATCTGGACCCAAACCTTCTGGCCCTGGAGCCGCCCTCCTTAACCACTCAGAGCTAGCTCCCTGTCAGAGCTGGTTAGCATGTTCGTGGATGCCCAGAGTCAACAGGAGTTACTACGCTTCTTCATAAATTGAATTTTTTAAAATTTATTTATTACTATTATTATTATCACTTTTTGGCCGTACCGCACAGCATGTGGGATCTTAGTTCCCCGACCAGGGATTGAACCCGTGCTCCCTGCACCGGAAGCGTGGAGTCTTAACCACTGGACTGCCAGGGAATTCCCCCATAAATTGTATTTTTAATCCTTGTATAATGTCCTCTTCATCTTAATGCTTCGGACCTTAACATCCACTTTGTTTGATATTAGCTTTGCCAATCCTGCTTTGTTTCTGGTCACGTGTGTCTGGTATAGTTTTGTCCAGTTCCTAATTTTCAACCTTGTCTTACTGCTTTGTTTTAGTTGTTCCACAATCTACAGCTGGGTTTTGGTTTCTACTCTGGCCTGCAGCAGTCTCAGATTTTGCCAAGACAAGAGCTCTGACATGATTCCGTCTTATTTTATGGTCATGATCTATGTACTTCCTTTCCTTTCCACATTTTTGCTGGTTCAGGCAAACTACTATTTATCCCCTTTCTGCTTGCTCATTTCTAACTTCAGCTAAGAGTTACTTCTGCTTTTGAACACTCATAACCCTTATGTAGAAACAGGGTGAGAACCGTCCCTGCCATGGGGTGAGAGTAGGAGGCTCTCTCTGCCCTCTACTGCCCCACCCTACCCCCAAGGGGGTTCCCACCCTGCCAGCTTCCACTGATCTACAAACCCCACGGGACTCGGGGCTATCCCATCTCCTCTTCACCTCTCCCGCCATCTCGGGCTCTCTACTCCGATCGTTGGAGCCTTTCTTGACTATGGCCCTCAGTTGTAACACATGGGAGACATGCCCTCTGAATTCCTGCTCATCTGCAAAATCTGCTTCTTTAACGCCATTAGGGAAAACAGTCCTGTGCTCTGGTGAGAATTCCGGGCCCAGGCCATTAAGGGCGGCAACGTCCCAGAATCTTCTGGTTTCCAGTGCAGATGAGAAATCTGTTGTCAGCGTGTCTGTTCTCCTTTATCAATAACTTATTTATTCTATGAAGAAGCCACTGAGATTTTATCTGTAGATTTCGGGAATGTCACCAGGAGATACCAAGGGTGTTGTCTTTTTCCTTTAAAGAACCCAGCCTGGAACTCCCCCAGCACAGACTAGCCTTTTCCTGATCAGAGAAAATTTCCTCTATTATCTATTCATCATCTCCAGACCTTTTTCTCCCTCTGGGACCCCTAACATTCAAGGTGGGTGAAAAGACACCCCAAGCCTGTCTTTCCCCTCGAGACTTCCACCTCTGTGTTTCTGATCTTCGAGACACACTTTGTTTTTATCGCTTGAGATCTACCTTCTTTTTCATTTCATGTTTCGAATTTTCTGAATTTGAAAATCCTAATTCTAGGACCTCCTCTCGTGGGCTGTAACTGGATCTCCTCGGGTTCTGGAAACCTAACACTGCCTGGGGTGCGTTGCCTGGCCTTCCTTCTCTCTCCAGCCGTGCCCCCTGCAGCCAGGCCCAGCTGGGGTGGGGGTCCCCTTCCTGTGGGTGGATGCCCCCGCCTCTGGTCCCAGACTTGCCCAGGTGCCAGTAACAGCCTTCATCAGCCTGTGGGGTGGGAGAGGCGCCCCTCAATCCCACCAAGGGCTCCGAGAGCAGGCAGCTGCATTCCTATTTTCTCCCTTGATCTGAGGGCCCTCAGGCGAAGGGCTGGCGCCCCTCACCTTAAACATCTCCATCCACAGAAACAAGAGTCGGCTATGGGCCTGCCTCCATCAGGGCCTCCAGTCCCCCAAATCCTTACCCTTTTAACCTCCCAGTCACCTTGAGAGCCAGGAAGCCTGAGGGCCGTCTCCCTGAGAGGGGCCTACAGTCACAGCAGCCAAAGTGGACCGTGTCTCCCAATTCCGAAGCCGGTGCCCACTGCCTTACATAAGCTGGCCTTTGAGGGGCAACCCGCATCCCATGACCCTCAAGGGCAGGAGGTGGGACCACTGTCCTGGAGGCGCCTGGCAGAAGAAGTGGTGGGAAGGGACACCAGGATGACTGACCTGTCCCCCATATGCAGGGTCCCACTGCCTACGGTTGAATTTCTCTCCTCCCATCCATGCCTGTGGCAAGGGGACCCCCATTCAGAGCCCAAGGTCAGACCAGGAACTGACCCGTGGTGGGGGAGTGCAGGCGGGCATTGGGACCCTTCCACCCCGGGAGACCTCGGGGAAGCTGGCAATCAAGGTCCCACCCGCACCTCCCCGGAAGGCGAGGTTGAACACGTGGCCCACACCCAGCCAATCAGAGGTGACGTACTGTCCTTCCTCCGGGCAATCTGAATCAAGAGGCACCCCAGCTGCGGAAAGGCAGCCTTCATCTGCCCTGAGCCTCCAGGCCTTGAGGAGCTCAAACCCCAAGGAGCCAGGCAGCCTCTGGGGGCCAGGCCCCAAGGCAGGGGCGCCACCTGCGCAAGGTTCCTGGACGGCCCCTCTGCTCCAGCCAGGCCGTGCCAGGGGCCCGGAAGGCAGGCCTGGGACACAATCCGGTCACTGTCCTGTGGGCCAGCCCCTAGCGCCCGTGAGGCTGGGGGCAGGGAAGAGCTTAGCAGCCTCTCTCCACTTCTGAGGGCCTAGGTTTCTCCTGGGTCAAATATACCAGGAGAGGGTCTCTCCTACCCTTTCCCGTCACCGCTCACACAGTGCGGGAGAAGGTGGGCACCACCAGCCCCAGGCTTCCACCTGGATCCAGGTAGCGCAGTGGGTTTGGGGGCTGTGGAGTACCTACAGCTCTCCCGGGTGCTGGACCCTGGCCTTGCCCCAACCCTGGGGCCTGGACAGGATCTCTCCCAGGTGGGCTTGGCGAGGATGGGCAGAAGGCATTCCAGGCAGGGTCCTGGGTAAGCAAGAGCCCGGAGTGACTTAACAAGTGTGTCTGGGGGGATGGGCCTGGCCTTAGGATGAGTGTTCCCAGCCCAATCCCCGTGGATCCCAGGACGCCTGCGTGAATACAGAAGGAATCCTGCGCCTCTGGGGAAAGAACCCACACTCTGCCTAGCGGAAAGGGGTTGGAAGGGGTGTTGGCCCTGGGGCTGAGCCACCACTGGGGGTGGGTAGAGAAGGGTCTGGGGCCCAGGAGAAGCTGGCAGCCTGGTGGCAGGACACTCAGGGAGGTCCCTCAAGGGGGACAGGAAGAGCAGAGAGTGGAATGGGGATGGGGGGGATTGAGAGCTGGGTCTACAGAGGCCAACCCCTCCTGTCTCCTCTGGCACCCTGGGCTTGGGAGAAATGCTCCCCAAATTACTGAAAGCTCTGGGGCCTGGAGCCCTGATTGGGTGACCGTCTGGGACACTTCCTGGGCACACCCCCTTCTCCACCAGCCCTCCTCTGGTGCAGAACAGGAAGCTAGCAACGCACTGGTTTAAATGCTAGATGCTCTCCTCTTCCTCCAGGGTGCCCACGGCTGGCAGGCAGCTGAGAGCTTTATTAAAGACAACAGGGGCAGGTGCCGGAGAAGAGAAGCACCTGATGTCAGAGACTGGATGGGGCCTGGGGACACCCAGCCAGCAGCCCTCTCCCCGTGAGGCAGAGCCCTGCCACTTCTGTCCACTCTGCTGAATTCCTGAGGGCTAAACCTGGCTCCCAGTGAATACCTGTTGAATAAATTAACTCTACAAGTAAAAGCAGAGAAACTAAAGGCCAGAGAGGCCAGTGCAGAGCCCGACGCCCAACGGTCAGGCCACAGCAGAGCCCGTACAACACACTGACTCAGGTCCTCCCGGGGACACAGGACCCCAGCGCCACGCCCCGGCTCCGGTGACACGCACGCGTGAGACCAAGGCCTAGCTCGCGCGGCGTGTCAGGCCCACTCTGCCAGCCGGGTGGAGTCTAACCACCAGCAGAACCACGTAGGAAGGGGGCGGGGCGCCAAAGCGTGACTCGGTGCCTGGGGTCGTGCCGGCGCCTTTTACGCCATCTCCCTAGGGCATCGTCCAGTGGCCCCGGCCCCAGCCCCACCCAGACGGCTACGGGAGAGGGGATAGAGCCAGCTTCAAACTTTTTGGGTCGAGGGAGGGGACCCTGCTCCAGGTGGGCGCGGGCTGGGGGAGGGGGAGAGGGAAATGGGCTCGGGGCCTCGCCGTCCGCTGGCCTCGGGCGAGGAGGGCTGTGGGGCATCCTTCTGGCAGTCCCCTGGCAGCCACGGTACTGTCCCGGAGCGTCAGACCTCTCGTCCGAACGTGCCCTGAAGGACTTAGAAGACACCTGCCCTCGCGGACAGCGTGCTAGGCACCCTCCCGGCTTGTCGTCAATTCACGCCCACGAGAATCCCGTGAGACAAGAGCACTGTTAACCCATTTTACAGACGAGGAATCCCCAGCCTCAGGGTAAGCCACTGGGCCGAGAGCTCGCAGGTGAGCTGGCCTCCCAGCCCGGATGCCTCGCCCCGGCGTCCCGGCGTTCCCGGCCCCCGCACGCGCCCGGGCAGGACCCGCCCGCCTCCTTACCCCCAGCGCATCCAGCCAGAAAGTCGAGCGCCATTGCCGGGTCCTCGGTGAGGCCGCCCTTCCTCCTTGTCCTCTTTCTCTAGCCCCTCGCCGGGCTGGTCGCCGTCGAGGGCTCCCCCTGCCCTGCTGGGCCGGGACTCGGCCTGGCCGCCTCCAGGCACAGAGCACCGCTCAGGCTGGGGTCTGGCGGCGGCGAAGGCGGCTCAACGCGCGACTCCTCGCCGGGCGCACGTCCTTCGCTGGCCGGCTCGCCGGCCCTTGCTGTCGCCAGCGCACCACCCGTGGTCCCTCACCTCTGTCGGCGTGTCCGGCCCCTCGGACCTGCCGGCCGGGCTCGGGCGGGGCGCAGAGCTCAGCCAACGGGCGGGCGAGGCTCGGACAACACCCCGGGCCCTGCGCGCCGCCGCCGCGCTTCATTGGCTGGGCGGACCTGGGGCGGGCGGGGCGGGAGGCACGTAACAGGCAGGCGGGCGGGCGGGGGAGCTGCCGAGGCGCTGCAGACAAAGAATGTGCTTCGTGCGCCCGCCCGCGCCGCCCCGGGCGGGAGAGGAAGCCGGGTGTGTGCTGCTGCGGGAAGGTGGGGCCCGGCCCGGACGGGGAGCCAACGGCTTGCGCGGCCCAGGAGCTTCCCGGCGTGCGCGATGCGGGTCAGCGGGGCGGGAGGTGGCGTGCGCTCGCTCCGGATTGGGCCTGGGATCCTGGGGCCTGGGTTTAGATCCCGACTCCGCCGCCCAGCCTCAGGGTCCTCGCCTGTATAATGGGGACACGCCGCGGTAACGAACGTGGAAGCGCCAGGACCCTCCAAGGCCTGCAGGCTCGGACACTAATTGTCACACTCCTCGAGCGGCGAAACACCCCCTCGGGGAGTCTTCGCCCCTCCCGTCTGTGCGCCCTCCTGGCGGCGGCCCTGCGGCTTCCGGCCGCCTGGCTCACCTCGGGAGGGGCGAGGAGCGTGGTCAGGCCCTCGCGGGCCCGCACTTGAGCGCGAACTGCGGGAGCCGCGGAAGGTTGTGAGGCGGGGGAGGTTCCTGGACTGGTCCGAGAGCCGCGAGGCGGGGGAGGCCAGATCGCGGCGCGTCCATATCGGCGGCCAGGCGCTGTGTGGCCGGAGGGGACGGTCCTCGAGCCGCGGCTCTGGGAGGCCTGCGGGCCTGGAGGGCCAGGCGGAGGGGAGGGAGGGTGCGAAGGCGAAGTGGGAGGGCGCTGGGCTCCTGTCTACGCGGGTGGCTGGGCGGCGGGGGGTCGGGGGGGTTAAGTAGGAGCCGAATCCGACGCCGCTCCCCGCCCCTCCCCCCCAGTCCCCGAGATTGGCAGTGGCAAGGGACCTCCTCCCTGCTCCCTGGGGAGGGTCCGGGTCAGAGACTTCCCCCTGCCCTCCTTCCTCAGCGCCTCACGAAGTCCTGATTGGCCGGTTGGGACCGGGCTTGGCTGGACGCTTCCTCACAATGGGAGTCAGGTGACACCTTCAGGCCTGCGCCCAACTTCCTTCTTCGTGCTCCTGTGGTCAGGACCACACCTTGCGGTGTGGCAGATCACACAGTTCTGTTATTTGCATTTTACTGTTTCTGAAATCGACACGGGGGTTGCCGTGGACATGTATCTCATGGACAGGTTTTAAATATTATATATACTTGGTACTAGGGGGTATATGTCAGGAGAATGTACAATAAGTAGTGAACCCTGGTGGTAGAGGCCACTAGGAATCCGACGATTATGTGCGGTTTCCTTTTCTTCTTCTTAGAATCTAAATAGAACATTCTGTAAGCAGAGACCCAAACCCAGGTCTGCTGACTCCTAGTCCAGTGCTTGTGATGGCTGGTGGGCCCTGAGCTAGGGGTCTGGAGGCCTGGGTTTGAACATCGCCAGCCTCTGACCCAGCTCAGGCCTCAACAAGGCCCATGAGCCAGAAAAGCATGTGGGCCCCAGGAGCAGCCCAGACTCAAAACAGGGGCAGGAGTTGGCTGGAGACCTCTGAGGCCGTGGCGATTAAACTGGACAACCTACGTCCAGGTGACTCACCTCTAGGAACAGGGGGTCCCTGGGTGACTGAGGCCTCAGGAGGTAAAGCACAAATGCCTGCAGCATCCGTCCCTGTTTTTGGAGGTTTGAGAGGAGAGTCAAGTGCCTTAACAGGGCAGTGAGTCAGAAGATTATTATGGACCATTTCATAAGGAGACAAAGAGGACCCGCTTTGTTTTGCTTTTAAGAGAACACAAGTGCCTTTAAGTTAATGCCATGCTTGGGGCAGGTGGCATGAGCCCTGACTCCTTGGGGGGGGTCCTTGGGAAGGGGCCCAGCAGCCTGGTGCACAGTAGGCACTCAATATTTGAGCTTCAGAAAGCTCCTTGGAGGGAAGCCCTGTTCGGGCCGACCCTACAGGGGTCCAGGTGGGGGAGCTGGTAGCTGGAGGGTGGGATCCTACAGGCCAGGGAGGAGGGGTGAGGTGTGAGGCCTCTAGCTGTGCATCCTGTCGGGAGGGCTTGGAAGTGGGGCTGGGCTGCGGGGGAGCCAGCGTTCAGGCTGAGGCGTGTTGGGTTTGGGGACAAAGGTCCAGTATGTGGTGAGCAGTAGAGGGGTGGGCTCTGGGGCAGGTCTGCCCACAGTGGCGTGTTAGAGAGGCCTAGGCTGTGGGTGCTGGGCAGTGGCCTCCAGCTGGGAGCACCCCAAGGGCAAGTCCAGGGTCTGTCCCGTTCATCCCAGGGGGTGCTTGAAGCAGCATCTTCAAGGCCGTGAGGAAGGGGTAAAAGCAGGCATTGCGAGGGGTGCGCCGCTGGCTTACTAAACCCTACGACCACATTGCTCCTGAAGCCGCCTCTCCCTGAGAATCATGCATGTCCCCGCTGCCCGGGAATCCCTTCCTCGGCTGGTGCTCTGGGCCTGGAGCAGACCCTGGACCACATACAGTGTCACTCTAGGAACTGGACGAAAGCAGGGCATGGGGATGGGGTGGGGGGAGACCCTCCTCCCTGACCTCCTGGACCTTCCATGACAGCTGAGGAGAGACCCAGAAGCGAAGAAGTCGTGGCCAAGTAAATGAGTACGTCCAGACAGGCCTGCGTTATTACATCAGCCGCTGGGGCCCATGTCTGTTCTTCTTCATTTCCTGAGGATAAAATTACAGCACAGAATGTGCTCTTTCAAACTTCTCACGTTCCACGGGGCCCCAGGACACTTCCCCCTCCCAGGGGAGGCCAGCTTGCGGGGCTCAGACCCCAGCCTTTAAGAGGTGGGAGGGGCCCAAGGCCAGAGCAGTATGAGGACAGCTGGGAGGGGAGAAGTGGCACAGGGGACCAGGGGTCAAGCCAGGTCACTGAATGCACGGTAGAGTTTTTATTTTGCACAGCTTTTATAACTTCTTACACAAGACAGTTTGGGTTTGGAAAATTTAGAAACACGAGCAGGTAAAAAAAAAAAATGGGTCGTAAATGTTCTCACCTTGGAATCTGATGAATTCAGTGACGGAGGCTATTTGGACCCCGGGTGGGGTGGGGAGCGAGGTTGGAGCTCAAGGTGTCACAGGGTGAGTGGGGTGAGGGTGGGCCGAGGCACCTGCTGTGTAGAACTTCTGGGGTGTTAGGCCATGCCGGAGGGTGCGCAGGGCGAGGCTGGGGGCCAGGGCAGGCGTGATTCTAGGATGGAAGCCACCAGAACAGGTTCCAAAGCTCCTGGGCAAAGGCTGGTGGGGAGGACAGGGCTGTCAACTGGCCCCCCTCTCACTTGGAATAAAACCCAAGCTCAGTGCCTCAGAGCCCAAGGTGATGTGGCTGCACCCTCACAACTCCAAGCTCATTCCCACCTCAGGGCCTTTGCACTGACTGCTTCCCCTGGGTGGGAGCTCCTCCTCCCAGCCTGGCACAGGTCATCTCCAGAACTCAGTTCCCTGCTCAACTCTCAGCTCCTCAAAAGGGGCTCGGCTGGGGGCCCCCCCACCCCATCCCCATGCCCTGCTTTCATCCAGTTCCTAGAGTGACACTGTATGTTCCTCTGTGTTTATCACCTCCCTTCCTCAGGCATGTTAGCTCCACCAGGGCCGGGACTTTGCCCCTCTTTACTAACACTAAACTGGGCCTGGCACACAGCAGGGGGTGAGCAGGCAGCCGAGGAGCCTGCCCTGGGTGAGTGAGTCCTGCCCTGTGGCCACGGGTCTCCCACCCCAAACCTCTAGGATCGGAGTCTCCCAGAGAGACCGCTAAAATGCAGATTCTAGGGCCCCACCTGGGCCCTCGGAGCAGGCAGAGGCAAAACCTGCATTGAAACTGACCTCTTCAGGGGCCGAGACCGTCTCCAAGGACAGGTTCGGGAAGCTCTGGCTCAGTTTTGCTTTTCAGTCTCAACTTGGACCCCTCCTGGCTGTGTGGCCCTGTGAGCCATCTTTGTCTCAGGTTTGTCATCTGTCAGATGGCTTCAGGAGGATTCTAGGGTCCAGAGCAAGTGAAGGAGGCCACGCAGAGTGGGCACAGAGCAGGCGCAGACCCGGCCTTGCTGTCGTTCCTCCAGAGCAAAGTGCCCGGCTCTCTGCCTTTATCCATTGACACCTTTGCAGGAAACATGGAAGATCAGAATTAATCAGCTGAGGTACTGAAGGGTTTCCTAAGGGCCTCTTTTTTTTTTTCTAAGGTCTTCTTAAACCCTGACCCCACAGCTGGGCTCCAGGCCCTGGCTCAGGAGGGCCCTCTAATGGCTGCTGAAGATGCTGCAGTGAACAGGCGCGGTGCCTTTGTGCCGGTGCCGATGAAGGGACTCTGCCCAAGGGGCGTCTTTCTCCCGGTGGACAAACGTCTGCCGTCTGCGTGACCCTCTGGCCTCTGGTCCAGTCTGCACTGGGAGTGACTCAGCCACCCCATTGAGGGTGTCTGCGCTGGGCCTCAGAGGGTGGAGGG